GTCGCCCTTCCTGCGAGTGATCTTCTTCGCCTTTTGGTTCAAGACGCCTTCGACGTCTTTGAGTCGTACTTGGTTTTTGACACACTTGACGAGCGCAAAGTAGAGTAGATCTGCAGCCTCGAATGCAATGTCTTCTTTTGTTTGAGCACTACATAGCTCGTCTGCTTCTTCGCGAATCTTCTTCCTCAGTAAATCTTCGTCATCGAAAAGACGTCTCGTGTATGATCCGGGCGGTGCGTTGGTTAGGCGAGAGAGAAGGGTGGATTCAAGTTGCGCGAGGCCGTCGAGTTCCCCAAAACAGCTCTGCCGGTTAAGGTGACAGAACCCCGGGTCGCGCTGCACGACGGTAAATTCAAGAGAATCACTGTCGCAATCGGTGCGAATAGAAACGACTTCTTGAGTAGCTCCGGAGGTTTCCCCTTTTCGCCACAAGCCATGCTTACGGCTCTGATACACTCCCTTGCCGGTATTGATAGACTCCTTGATAGATGCCACCGAAGAGTAGACGAGCCCGAGACAACGATTGTTGGTATAGGAAGTGACGACAGTGGGAAAGAGGCCGTCAGCTCGGTCGGATGCGAGTGGCGCAATGAATGCGTCTGCAATGTTTGTGGCGTTCTCGTTCGAGTCTCCCAGGGTTAGGTTCTCAGTGGGGATGACAAGAGTTACACTCATTCGGGTAGCGTCCTTGATGGCTTGGAGAGTGGCGTTCGAGGAGGGGAGCTGCTGTGGCTGAACGTAGAGCTCTGCACCGGGGAAGAACTGCTTGAAAGAGGGGAGTGTAGTAGCATCGAGAGAGCCGCATTTGATGAAGAGACCGGATACAGCGCTACGTAGCTTGTCTGGGACGGCTGCCCCCTCTGCCATGTCCAGAGACAACACGAGCCGGTCGCTGGGTATATTGCTAGCACCAGCAGAGACGAGCTTTGAGATGACAGTAGCAGGCAGAATGACCTTTTGCGCGCCATCATCTAGCCACTGGGCGACCGTGTCGGGATGAGAATTAGCGTCGGCAAGCACGAAATAGTCCTCTTCGTCAGTGAGCTCATCCTGGGAGCTGCCCTGGCGGGTGGCTAGATACTCCTGGGTGAGGATGAGAGGACCCAGACGCTGAAGAGCGTCTTTGAGGCTCTTGTCGACAGAGCGAACGAGGAGAGGGAGAAAGGGAGTCATAGTTGGCCACAGCAGCAATCGGCCGTACAAATACCCAAATGCTCCTCCATTTTTCCTAATCTAAGCGACGCGGCCCTTTGCAGCTGTTCCCCCTGGAGTTCCGCGTACTCGTCGTTTCTGTCAGAATATCGAGATCATTACCCAGAATGGCAATAACCCATCATCGATTGGATTTGCCGCTTGGGCGAGCGGCTGGCGAGCGAGTGAGAGGCAGAGGGGTGTGTGGAGGGGGGAGCCAGCTACACTCAAACCTCTCTCTAAACTTCTGAATCTACACATACACACCGGCAATTATCCCTATATGTCTAATAACTTATTTGGGGGATTTATGTCAGCCTAGCGCTCGACGCAGTTTTCCGACGATTCACGGCTATACAAAAGTGAGAAGGCATTCATGTCTTTCCTCTCAACCTCATTGGCCTCCGCAACGCCTTCAACAATTGCGACAGCAACTATAGCGGCTATCGTGATCGTAGTGTCTCTGTTCCCTCAAATGTTCTGGTCACGAAAACCAAAATGGCAGCCTGCCGGCAAGGTCCGTATTTTCTCCAAGTAGCCGTATATCATTCGATCCCAAAGGAGAAACTCCTCGCTTATCGAGGCGCCGTTCTGACGTATCATACTCTTTCTTTTATGTCTTTAGCAATGTGTCGTGACGGGTGGTAGTTCAGGGCTCGGCCTAGCACTCGCTACGCTCCTCGTCAAGAGAGGAGCACATGTAGCGGTCATAGCTCGCGACCAAAAGAAGCTCGATGACGCGTTGAAGATTCTGGAGGTGCGTTTTCAGCTTCATCGACCTTTTTTCCTGAAACCTCCCCACCAAAACTATCGTTCGACCGTATTCCCAGCCTCAGCTATAACTCTATTGAGGATTCCATTTTTGAACCTTCTCCGCATCACGGATATTGGACTGCCGTCTTCTGTATCACACCCTCAAGGGGTAGCTCCGTACTTTTCGTCTTTCGACCTCTGGGCGCCTTGTCCTTTTTTTTTTCTTGGTATTTTGGTGGCAGGGCTAGGGAGCTTCCACCCTCGCTAGACTGGTTTTGCATATGCGGTCAATTTCACATCTTATCTATCTCGCTCGCCACGTTATGTCCACTATCTCTCACTTTATCTGACTCTCCTTACGACATCACTCAATGATTTTCGCATCTTAGGCAGCACGCGTCAACCCAGATCAGATCCTCTCTGCCCATTCGCATTCACTCGCCACCTTATCAGAGTCAAAGCTCGCTCTCGAAAATGCCGCCAAGTCACATGGTGGACGTGCTCCTGATGCTATATTCACTTGTGCGGGCATTTCCACTCCCAACTATTTTTTGACCTCCGAGGAAGAAGACCTGACGAGTGGAATGACGAATGCATATTGGATTCAGGCATTCCCCGCTCTGGTGCGTGTCACGTATACCTCCATTTCTATAAATTTTGCTCATAATTTGCTCTCAGGCCGCTACCAAGATGATG